CCAGAATTCCCCAGCCAGCATTCGCTGGCTGGGGAATTCTGGGAGTTGAAGTCCGGACATCTTCAAGTTGCCAAGGTTGAGAAACACTGTTCTACCACAACGAAGGCAACTTCTGTTCCATTCGTTGATTGTTCTCATTGTTCTCCTTAATTGTTCTAGGTTGGATCACTCCATGATTAGTTCTGGTCCTGTCTTCTGGTGCTTTGGAAAACAAGCTCTTTGTGGCAGCCCTTCAGATACTGGAAGAATGCCGTCCTGTCCTTAAAATTAAACTCAATTAAAACGCACCCCTGCTAATGTTAAGCGTATCGGTAAAGAATCGCGCGTAAAAACATTGTGACTACTGCACAGTCCGTTTTCCCCTACCACCAAAGAACACGACTGCAAGGGGAGGAGGGCATATAAATGTGATTTTTTTTTTTAAGGTCAGAAAGTGAGGAGTTTGGGAAGGAGATCTGGAAGACTTGCCTGGGAGCCAGCTGGGCTCTAAAACGTTTCCCACATTCCTTATCCAAGGGAGGAATCTCAAAGCACCTCTGGACAGCAGCCTGTGCATGGTTGGGATTTCCCCCTGCAAAATTATGCAAGAAATTATTTTAAATGCATTTTTTAAAATTAAGAGCAGGGAACGATAGCCCAGAGGGTTAACGCAGGCCTTGTTGCAAGCAGGAAGGTGGTTTTGTACGGTGGTACAGCGCCACCCTCTGGCCACAAGTCGCACGGGAGCCAAAGAGAAAGTGGAGGAGTGCGCCCTCTAGTGGCGACTCAAAAAAAAAACCATCAAGGCTACCGACTACCAAAGGAATCCGGATGCAAAGCAGGGAAAGAAGGGATTAAATGAAGGAATCCTGCGAAATTGATGCGGATTTTGCAGGAGAGCGAAGCAGTGCAATTTCCCCCCATTTTGCAAAGCAAGCGGGTGTGAGCGGGACACACGCATATCAGGACCCCGGACCCCTTGATCAGCTGTAATGGCCACTAACCTTCCCATTATTTGATGATGATGATTATTTATTTCACCAAGCATGTATTAGACAACATATCAGGGGTGGGTTCCTGCCAGTTCTAACCTCTTCTATAGAAGAGGTTTCACAAATCTACCGTGCCATTTAGAACCGGTTCCAGCTCCCTCCCCCCGCCCGTCCGCACATCATCAAGATGAAGAGAGAGGAAGAATTCTGGGAGTTGAAGTCCACAAGTCTTAAAGCTGTCAAGGTTGAACACCCCTGGGGTATTTTTTCTAAAGGGTTAGGGGGTGCAAGGCACTTGTAACTTGACAGCTTTAAGACTTGT